ATGTGGAGTTTCTTTACTGAATCAGTAGTACTTGGACTGTATATTATGTGTTTTTGTTAAAGTATTGTAAAAACTGTACTGTTAACGATACCATATAAGTAGACTAGTTACATTATTACTCAAGTTTCTGTTAAAGTACTGTAAAAACTGTACTATTAACGATACTATGTTAATGGGTTAGGTACAGTGTTACTGAGTTTTTTGTTTAAACTTAGGAAGACTATACTATTGTTAACTACAGAAGAATCTCGATTAACTGACACCTCGAAACAAACAACATTGCGCCATTAAGGGCAGACCTTTTCAGTTTCAGTCTAATTGTTTTTTTTCTACTATTTGTAACCAAAATAAATCTTGTAATAACAAGTGCCTCGATATTCTGGATTAAGGGCTATTCTGTCTTTAGTCTCATTCTCTATATGGGCAGTTAACCCTTTCACTGTGGGCAAGTTAAAGTGTGCATGTTATGACCTCTTAGAGAGTTATTTTAAAATTTTATCAAATAACTTTACTATTACTCACAGCACTGTAAGCAGTCAAATTCTTTGCTTTTCAAAGTATTTTTTATTTATTTATCTTTGTTTTAATAAGAATAACTAATATTTAAGCATTTTTGAATAAAAAGTATTTTTGATATTAAGGGCACCTTGCTGTAGAGGGCCTTTGGATGCAATCAGAAGGGTACTATTAATTTCGAGGTTCTACTGTATACAGTTTTTTAACAGGATAGGTAAAGTGCTACTGAGTTTTTTTGTTTAAACTTAGGAAAACTGTACTGTTAAAATTACCATATTAACATGTTACTTATAATATTAGTAAAATTTTTCTTAAATGTAGGAAGAAAACCATATTGTTAACAAGACCATGTAAGCAGATTAGTGACAGTATTAGGTCTTGGTTTAAATGTCTGTTATCTTACTACATACAAACGTCTAGCTGGCAAAGCCTGTTGTCTCATAACAGAATCACCCTGGTAGGAACATCTGTTATTGTGGTACAGAAACACACACAAAACCTTGCCAACATAGTATTAAGTATCAACTATCGTGTTTATGTTACTTTTGTAGGTGAAAGTGTACCTGAAATGAAATCTCCAATTCCCAGACATGACGACAGTGAAATGTACAGCTCACAGAACCACAAAAATCACACATTGTTTTGTGGAACTCATGTTATACAAGCCAGGAATTATGGATACAACATGACCATGGGTGTTGTCATTAGGACAGGCAAGTAAACGTGCTCTTTGTGTTATTTGAAACTTCAGTAATAATGTAACTCAGATGTAGTGTACTAATGTCTCACATTGATGTATTTACTGATACTGTGTATAACTCTCACATTGATGCATTACCTTTACGTTATGCTACCACCCTCACACATTGATGTATCTACAGATGTTGTGTACGACTTACTTTCCTTCGATGTTATGTGTGCACACATGTTATTTTATCTATTCTAGATTTTTTACAACACATGTTAGTGTACCACATTCATGTTGCTATAATACTCTGGGGTTTCTTTATCTAATATTGCCAGGTTTTTATCTGTTAATAAAAATTATTAGGTTACTGCATCATGAAGTACAGTAACATTATACTTATTTATTGTTCTTACATTATTATAAATGCTCTGAAGTTTAATGTGATAAAAACAGCAGGGTTACATAATGAGATTTGTATGAATACTGTAGTTATAGGTATACATTTTTATGCTAATTTTTCTTTAATACTTTTCTCCATAAAGTATTGTGATAAGTTAAGCCTTTAAGATCGAACAGTGTATGTGTATGTGTGTGTTTTTTTTTTTATCTGTACAAAGTTAACAGTTTCTACTCTCGTGTAGTCAGATAAGGACTGTAGTAAAGGGGTCTTGTAGTCAGATATGGACTGTAGTAAGGGGATCTTGTAGTCAGATATGGACTGTACTAAGGGGATCTTGTAGTCAGATATGGACTGTAGTAAAGGGGTCTTGTAGTTAGATATGGACTAGTAAGGGGGTCTTGTAGTCAGATATGGACTGTAGTAAGGGAGTCTTGTAGTTAGATATGGACTGTAGTAAGGGGCCTTTTAGTCAGATATGGACTGTAGTAAGGGGGTGATAGAACATATGGGAAATTTGGTAATGAGTGAGTTTGCCTATTTATCTAAAGCATATAAAAAATGCTGTGTTATGTCTATTTTCAGCAACGAATTACTCTTCACAACATGGTAGCCCATTTCAATGCCGTATTCGTGACTGTCTTTCGACAAGATGGAAGTAAGTTTGTTACAAGATTATGACGCTGTTTAGTAAAGTAGAAGAGTATTGTTGTGGTTACTTTTATCAAATAATTAAATTAATAAGTTTTAGAAACGTTGGAGTTTGTTGTATGTAGAAATTTATAAATTTAAAATCACTTGACTTGTTTTGTTTATGACTTAGTGAAAAGACTGATTTGTTTTATTTGACATCTAGCCCAAGAAAACATCCCTGCTTCAAGCCTTGTTCCTGGAGATTTAATTGTTATACCTCCTAATGGATGTTTGATGACTTGTGATGCTGTACTTGTGGCTGGTAACTGTATTGTAAATGAGAGCATGTTAACGGGTAGGTCGTTAGGGTTTATGATTTTTGTGGAAACAACATTTTTGTCAGTTGAATGTTCACTGTGCAGTTACAGTTTTTTCATCTGTGGTTAACTTTATTGCTAATAATAGTATTTTTTGGGTCACTGTAATTTCTCTTGTAGGAAATGTATATTGTTGTTAATGATACCATTTTAACAGGTAAGTTACAGTATTACTGAAGTTTCTGTTAAAGTACTGTAAAAAACTGTACTGTTAACAATACCATGTTAGTGGATTAGTTACATTATTACTGAAGTTTCTGTTAAAGTACTGTAAAAACTGTACTATTAACGATACCATGTTAGTAGACTAGTTACATTATTACTGAAGTTTCTGTTAAAGTACTGTAAAAACTGTACCGTTAACAATACCATGTTAGTGGATTGTACTGATGTAGTGTACTAATGTCTCACAATGGTGTATCTATTGATGTTGTGTACTACTGTCTCACATTGGTGTATCTTTTGATGTAGTGTACTACTGTGTCACATTGGTGTATCTACAGATGTAGTGTACTACTGTGTCACATTGGTGTATGTACTGATGTAGTGTACTAATGTCTCACATTGGTGTATCTATTGATGTAGTGTACTACTGTCTCACATTGGTGTATCTATTGATGTAGTGTACTAATGTGTCACATTGGTGTATCTATTGATGTAGTGTACTACTGTGTCACATTGGTGTATCTATTGATGTAGTGTACTACTGTGTCACATTGGTGTATCTATTGATGTAGTGTACTACTTGTCACATTGGTGTATCTATTGATGTAGTGTACTAATGTCTCACATTGGTGTATCTATTGATGTAGTGTACTACTGTGTCACATTGGTGTATCTATTGATGTAGTGTACTACTGTGTCACATTGGTGTATCTATTGATGTAGTGTACTACTGTGTCACATTGGTGTATCTATTGATGTAGTGTACTAATGTCTCACATTGGTGTATCTATTGATGTAGTGTACTACTGTGTCACATTGGTGTATCTATTGATGTAGTGTACTAATGTCTCACATTGGTGTATCTATTGATGTAGTGTACTACTGTGTCACATTGGTGTATCTACAGATGTAGTGTACTACTGTGTCACATTGGTGTATCTAATACACCAATGTGACACAGTAGTACACTACATCTGTAGATACACCAATGTGACACAGTAGTACACTACATCAATAGATACACCAATGTGATACAGTAGTACACTACATCAATAGATACACCAATATGATGCTTTTAAATTCCCTTTACCTTTTTGGTATCATACAATGAT